TCGATTCCCTTCAGAATCTTCTCAAGAATGTGTGTGTGTGTGTGTGTGTGTGTGTGTGTGTGTGTGTGTGTGTGTGTGTGTGTGTGTGTGTGTGTGTGTGTGTGTGTGTGTGTGTAAGTATCTCGACAAAATCGCCAATTTCCACTCCGGCGTACTCTACCTCACAGAGTACTCCTGCGTACTCTACCTCACAGAGTACTCCTGCGTACTCTACCTCACAGAGTACTCCGGCGTACTCTACCTCACAGAGTACTCCGGCGTACTCTACCTCACAGAGTACTCCTGCGTACTCTGTGAGGTAACTCCTTAGCGTCCTGTCTGGGATGTCCCTGGACACAGACTCTCAAGGTCTGGCCAGGTCGAGTTACCCGTCCATAAGATTATTCACAAGGCCGTCAACTTGACTCACCTTCCCCCGCGGTCAAGCAACACTTCAAGTACAGTGGGATGTCACCTCTGTACGTCAAGCTTGAATAGTCCCCAAGCTAACAGAGTTGATGAAATATCTGTGCCCAAAAGGTCAAAGATTTTGACATATTTCTTATGATCTCTTATGATTTCTTATGATTTCTTATGATGAAATCTTATGACATAAGATTTGGACGTGTTCAACGTCCTCCCAGCAAGCATAAGAAATATTGCCGGAACAACAGTGGACATTTTCAAGAGGAAACTAGATTTATTCCTCCAAGGAGTGCCGGACCAACCGGGCTGTGGTGGGTATGTGGGCCTGCGGGCCGCTCCAAGCAACAGCCTGGTGGACCAAACTCTCACAAGTCGAGCCTGGCCTCGGGCCGGGCTTGGGGAGTAGAAGAACTCCCAGAACCCCATCAACCAGGTAATCAACCAGGTATATCTTTTGACACTGACCTAGAAGACTGGTCTTTCTCACACTCCCCTCGGAAACAACAGTACAAAACTCTCACAATTTTCTTAATCACTGATAAACACATTTTTGATGTGAGCAAATATTTAAAAGGTCAAAGAGAGCTGTCGGGTATTGGGTTAAGGGTCAGTCGACTTCCAAAACTTTTGTACAGTCAGGGTGGCCGAGTGGTTAAAGTACTGGAGATGCCAAGGGGTATGGAGGCTATTGCTGTCTGGGTTCGAATCCTTCGGGGGTCAAGAGTTGTCTGATATATATATTATATATCTTATATAATATTTATAGTAATTATTTGGTCGAAAGTACCAATATATGGTAATGAAACACCAGAAAGTTGACTTATATATTAGTGAATATGGATAATCCGGAAACCTTTTTAAGCGTAACATAAATATAAGACCAAACCTCTCCTAACAATCCTAGACCTAATACGCGCTTTCTTAGGCCTAATATAGTACATATATATGCTAGACTAGGCCTAAGAATATTTAAGTTTGGGTTTAGCTTCATTTTCTCCGGACTGTACTAAAATTATTAGTACAAAAAGTGGTTTACTGGCCGTCCATCACTACATATTGGTACTTTCCACCAAATAGTTAGTATAAGTACTATCATTTCCGGAGGATGAGTTGATATATTACCTCACCAGCATTTTCAGCTTTACTAAAAATGTATATATGGAAGTATTAGCAGGCGAGGAGTCACAATAACGTGGCTAAAGTAAGTTGACCAGACCACACACTAGAAGGTGAAGGGACGACGTCGTTTCGGTCCGTCCTGGACCATTCTCAAGTCGATTGTGATAATGGTCCAGGACGGACCGAAACGTCGTCGTCCCTTCACCTTCTAGTGTGTGGTCTGGTCAACTGGAAGTATTAGACTTGAGTGATGCTGAAATAAATCAAAACATAAGAACTTAAGAATTGAGGAAACTGCAGAATGCCTATTGGTCCATACAAAGCAGCACCTGTTTATATCCACTCAAACTCATTCAAATAATTGTCTAGTCTATGCTAGACTTTTTTCGTATTCAGGCTGCAATTTCAACACCATCCAGATGATATCTTGTAACAGTCATCATTACCTTGCCTCAGAGTTCAACTTTTTTCGATATTAAACTACATCTGCTAATCTCTCGTTCATTTCACAAGACTATCTAGATCGTCTTGAAGTGATTTGGGGATTTCTTCTAAACTGATATCCAGTCCAATTTTTGTATCGTCTGCAAATTTGCAAATATTGCTGGTTAAGCCTGAATGTAAATAGTTTATATATATGGTAAAGAAGAGAAGTCCCAGGACACAGCCTTGAGGCACGCCACTTACAACGGTTTTCCCCACGCTGATATAACTCTAATTACACTCTTTGTATCATTTGATATAACCAAACCCTTAGCCAAATTTAGATTAACCTTCAATATCATAAGCAGTCTTGTCAGTTTTTTGGGAGGCACAGTATCAAAAGCTTTGCTGGAGTCAGGGTGAAGCCTGTGCTGTGTATTATATAGATTCTGACTTACTGCCGCCGTGCTAGGAAGTGTTTTCCTTTCACTTAGATCAAGCCACTCAGGCCATGTCAGCCTCTGGTAAAAGAAAATATGTGACGACACTGCAGACAGGCCCCAGACCTCTGGGAAGGGCTGCCTGGCACAATCCCAGCTCCTCCGGCGAAAGGTCTACCGTGTAATGGTCATGCGGAGAGCATGACCACACCTCCACACATGCAGGAGGCGCACCCTTTCTCAGGAGCCTGTGTGTACAAATGTGTGTCCAGGCAGGCAAAAAGCTGACCCCTTCTCAAAGACCAATGTGTACAGGAGCGTTGGTCAGCACCAGTCCCACTGCTGCCTCCTCGCTCAGACAGGAAGCAAACATCTTGGTTGTCTTTATCTAGCTAACATTACCGCCCAGACTTTCACTTTACACCCTGTGGCTGTAGCGAACTCACCACTGCAAGTCCAGTCACCGCGACTGTTATAGGTTGGTGATTGAAAGCACCAGTCTTAGCCACCATCTTGGTGCTTGGGACGCCTGTCTTATGAGTAAAAACTTATATAGTATGTAATCATTTTTTGACCAGCTTCAACACGCGAATTCAAACACTTTCAATTCCAACATCGTGTCGGCCCACATAGTGACCAGTAGCAACACATCATCATCATCAGTGATGCTAAACTCATCATTAAAGTAGACAACAAAATTAGAAGACAATGTCTTGAGTCTCCACTACAACACAACAAAATCTATGACAATTCAGAATTTATATCCCAATTTTATAAATTAACATTTAATATATAAAGTGTCACTTGTATAATTCCTCGCTCCTCATAACCTCAAGACACTGCTACCTACCTGGCCTTACTTCAGCCCTTACCTCTGTGTATCTGAAACACTTGATAAACCACTCACAAAGGAATGTTATCTTCAGATAGTCTGGGTTCAATTTCATGCATCTTTATATCATTATTTTTGCTCTGTTCATCTATATCATTACCGGGTCAATGTTGGTGTTGTGGGCTGCCTTCTACAGCCAGTAGTGGAGCAATACTTGTAGCAATACTGACATTATTTGTACCTAGTGGTGATGGGTTTCAAACGTGGGTCAGACATCTATATCTATAAATGAGAATGTGTGTTCGAGATGAGAGGCCAGATGACTGGGAGTAGCCTCACCCAACTTTGTACCATGATTGCTGTTGGATGCGCTCAACATAGCTGGGTTGGGGTCACATAAACTCAACAGGGTTTGTGACGGTCACATACTGACCCACACACCCCGCTACCATCTGGCTAAACACTTTGAAAACACAAATTTCAAAAGAACTATTTCTCCTGCAATATTATAAAACATTATGCACTGATCACGGGAAAATGTTCATAAATGTTTTACTCGTCATACTTCGCCTGTAGAAGCAGGGAAAAGATGCAGCTTTTAAAGATGTGAACACAGAGCTGCTGGGACCGACCCCAGGCCCCCTCCTCCCCCAAGCCCATCCCTAGAAACACTCCCACCACCAGCTGCCTTCCTATTGGCTCACAGGTCAGGCACTTGTCGACTGGAAGTCTGAAATCAAAGTGTTTTCCCGATAGTTTTGGGCAGTTTTCAACTTTTTATTATGTTTTATGTTTTATTATTATGGGGGGAGCCGGTCGGCCGAGCGGACAGCACGCTGTACTTGTGATCCTGTGGTCCTGGGTTCGATCCCAGGCGCCGGCGAGAAACAATGGGCAGTTTCTTTCACCCTATGCCCCTGTTACCTAGCAGTAAAATAAGTACCTGTCAGCTGTCACGGGCTGCTTCCTGGGGGTGGTGGCCTGGTCTAGGACCGGGCCGCGGGGACACTAAAGCCCCGAAATCATCTCAAGATAACCTCAAGATGTTACATATTAAATATTTTGAGAGAGAGACAAACTAACAGGTTACACAAATTGTGCACAGTTCTTCAAGCTGTTAGTATAAGGAGAGGAAATTAAAAGAATAGAAATTTGTAATCTACATATTAACACCTGTGACAACTAACATTTTCCTAGCTGGGGACTGTGCCTACCTCAAGACAGTCTCCCGGAGGACTGTGTCTACCCCACAATAAACTAACATTAATGCGGGTCGCCCCAAGCAACAGCCTGTTAGACCAAGTTATCACAAGTCGAGCCTGACTTCAGGCCGGACTTGGGGAGTAGAAGAACTCTCAGAATCCTCTTCAGGTATGGTCCAGGTAATGCTTGTGTTAAACAAAATAATTGTCTTTATTATTTGTTATATTGTTTTAAAATTGGTCCGTTTAAATTATATCTGGAAAAATAATTTTCCCATTTTCCACTTTAATTGTATAATAAAAAGCACATTAGAGTCTGAAATTGTCTCTTAGAATCTAATAAATGGTTCTAAATGCATTATATATTTTCACGTTATGTAAAACATTATAGAATTGTACACGATCCTCATAGTTCAACTTTTAATGAAACGAAGAATTTAATATATAAATTTTGATCTCATCATATTTTAGAAAAATCAAAAACCCTACAAAGTATCTCAAATAGGATTAAAATGCCCTGAAGTAATAGATACAAATAAATAAATTAATGTCCAAGTTTAAACACTGATTTGCACTGACCACCAATGTATGTAGAGTAGTGGATGGTGAGAGGAACAATGAGGCTAAGTAACCCGGCCTGCACCACGTCCAGACGCGTACTGAGCGAGGCTGCTGCTTCCCACCGACTGTTTCGCGTTCTTGAAGGCAGAAGAAAACGTGGCGCGATAACTGGCCTATCACGTGCCTTTGTACATGTGACGTCACTAATTGACCGTTGCCACCATATGATTATATAGCATTATTATTAATGGGATTGGTACATATATAACAGCTGAAATATAATTGTTTAGTTCCAGCAACATATTGACATGTATATCTGAATCATATTAATTATATATGTATTATAATGTGTGAATATTGAATACATTGGCATGTGTCTGCAATTGTATTATAGACTTATTATTACTTCACGTTTTCTATGCATCGGACGCAAATATTCACGTTTTCTATGCAGCAGTGTACATCATCCCAGGATGATGTTACCTCTAGTGAGCTCCGTGAGGTCCAATCAGCTGGTGTTTCTCTAGCTGCCGTATGTCACGGTTGATCTTAAGTCACAAATTAATTTTCTGGTCCGATTTAGATTACCGTCTGATCTATGTCAAGGCTATAGCTGGGTGGTGGGAGGCTTCGGCGTAGGTGAAATTCTCAGGCTGTCCTGAGGTCAGGTGACATAGGGGTATCTGCAGTGACTTTTTTGTTTACACTTGAGGACAGTAAAGAAAGTTGTTGCCGCAGTCCACGGACAGCACGCTGGTCTTGTGATCCTGTGGTTCCGGGTTCTATCCCAGGCGCTGGCGAGAAACAATGGGCAGAGTTTCTTTCACCCTATGCCCCCTGTTACCTAGCAGTAAAATAGGTACCTGGGTGTTAGTCAGCTGTCACGAGCTGCTACCTGGGGGTGGAGGCCTGGTCGAGGACCGGGCCGCGGGGACACTAAAGCCCCGAAATCATCTTCCAAACAGAGTTTGGAAGAGACATAGTGGTCCTACACCTCACGTCTAACATTACGTTAGACGTATGCGACTGGCAATGACAATGACTCTTCCTAGTCATTGTGTACCGCGATCAGTGTAGCCTGTGTACCTTGAGCTAGTCCCGCCCGACCACACAAACTGGACTAAATCATCTCTCACAGTTCAACTATCCGCTTCCTGCTTCAAGTTATCACATACGATGATAACACATTTATTAATGTTTTGTCTCCTTTCTTAAAATATGCACGTGATCAGTATTACATTATATTAACACGCTAAACATTACATCTTATAATATAACTATGTCTATTAATCTTGTTTAAATTACAAATCAAGCTGTCAACGTAATCAATCAGAGCTTTAATATACTTACTAATCTCTCTCATCTCATTTTTTTTCTTGCAATGTATTTGTTATCATTTTATTAATTCTGCTAGAATTTACCTACTTAAAATTATCTGTTAGATTAAGGACCTGCCCGAAACGCTGCGCGTACTAGTGGCTTTACAAGAGTGTAAATACCATGCTATGTATTCTCACAAACCCAATGTACCTTCTTGTATATAAATAAATAAATAAATAAATAAATAAATAAATAAATAAATAAATAAATAAATAAATAAATAATAAATAATAAATAACATTCTAGAAAACATCGAGTTATGTCATCTAGCAGTTGGCTAGTATTTCTAACCACAAATATTAAAAATGTTATATTGTATTCTTTGTATCTAAAAATTTACGTTATTTCAACAACTATCTTAATTATTATTATGTAATTTTCTTGCATTTCACAATAATAGTGAACACTAAAAATATCATATAATCCACTTTAACGTCTTTATTACATACGGCTTTTATAGTTTTCTTGATCCAATTTACAAATGTTCATTTTATTCTTACTAATATAAACTATATTCTTTGAAATATTGAAATATGTGGATGTCCTTAGTTAACTTATTCAACCTATCACTGATGTCCCCTAATTGTTAACCTATTCAACCCAATCATTAATATATCTAATTGTCAAGTTATTCAACCAATCCTTTATTTCCCCAATTATTCATTTATTCAACCAATCGTTGATATTCCTAATTGTCCACCTAATCAACGAATCATTGCTGCTCCTCATTGCTGACCTATTCAACCAATCATTGATGTCCCTAACTGTCACCCTAACTACCAATTACTACTCAAACATGTGAGCAAAATATCGACATCTATTCAGAGTACATTTACTCATATTCCCTTCAGGTTACAATATTGTATTTTGTAATATATTTACTCAAAAAAACACATTTCTCAAAATTGCCATATTTTCTCAGAAGACATTTGCAACATCTGGCCAGAAAGCCTGAGAATTCATGCAGTAAACATAATTAGATCTCAAATACAATGGTCATCTTCACAACTGGTTGGGTTCGATTCCAGGGTAGGGTGAGGCATTTGTGCACATTTTCTTCCGCCTGGTGTACCTGTTCACCTTGCAGCACCTGGGAGTTAGACGGCTGTTGTGAGTAGCTTCCTGAGAAAGGTCATTTAGCCGTTATTCAAGGGGGGAGCGAGGGGGGAGGGGGGGAGCTCTATAAACCTAAAAGTTTTCCTGTCTTCGACAGTAGGAAATCAAGACATCTATTGAACCCACATATGGTAAGATGTGATCAAATCACTTGCCAGGTGCCTCCTTACACAATCATGGTGAGAGGTCTTATCCAGCTGTGCATATATATGAGGGTGCGTGCATATGTATGTACTTCCGTGTGTGTGTGTGTGTGTGTCTGAATATATTGTTTGCAAGATGACCTTGTCTCTTTCACGGACAACACACATTTACTAAAATTTTTCAGAGGAGCACACACGTCACGTGACCTCAATGGGCAGCCTAGGCCCAATGATTGGTTGAGAGGTGGGAGCCACACTACATGACAGTGGACTAGTGTTGGGACCTTACCTTGAGGTTACCTTGAGATGCTTCCGGGGCTTAGCGTCCCCGCGGCCCGGTCGTCGACCAGGCCTCCTGGTTGCTGGACTGATCAACCAGGCTGTTGGACGCGGCTGCTTGCAGCCTGACGTATGAGTCACAGCCTGGTTGATCAGGTATTCAGGTATATGCTCACAGAGCCGCCGCCTTATCAGGAGTCTGAGGAAGGAAGGCCAGGAACTTATTTATGTCCGGTGTTCAGACAGTTCACTCTGCATACACTGCAAGGTGAACTTGACCCTGTTTACTGTTCCTTCCCCGACACTTACCTTCCGTCTTACTCGTGACTCTTCCCTCGCTCCCCCCTTCCGTCTCCGCCGTCACATCCTGATCACCCTTCCACTACCCGACCTCCACGCCACCACCAACGTCTTGCATGTAATTGCCAGAGAGAGACAGAGGCCGGAGGCCAAGAGAGAGCATGACGTGGAAGTCCATGTACACCTCAAGTCCGTCCCGAGAGTTGTTCTACTCCACAAACTCGCTTGGGCCAGGTTTGACTTGTGATTTAAAAAGTTGTTATTTGGCGCGGCCTCTTACGGGCTCACCATAGCCCGTGCTACTGGAACTTCTTGTTCTAAGTACCTGAATTTAAAACAACAACATGGTGCTTCCTGCAGGCCACATATCACAATCCTGGTTAGCCCGGCACTTCACCTTCTCACCTAACTTGTTCCAACCGTCTACCACTCAAGGAGCCGTCTAGGAGCCGGTCGGTCAAGCGGACAGCACGCTGGACTTGTGATCCTGTGGTCCTGGGTTCGATCCCAGGCGCCGGCGAGAAACAATGGGCAGAGTTTCTTTCACCCTATGGCCCTGTTACCTAGCAGTAAAATAGGTACCTGGGTGTTAGTCAGCTGTCACAGGTTGCTTCCTGGGAGTGGAGGCCTGGTCGAGGACCGGGCCGCGGGGACACTAAAGCCCCGAAGTCATCTCAAGATAACCTCAAGATGGCACCTCTTGTCTTCATCCGATCTGTTCTGTAGTTCTTACCACATGTATGTCGCTCCAGTATGTTGTTATTTTGTTCTGCATATTTGGGACTTGACCTTCCATTATACTTCACGTGTATATAATGTCCCAATAATTGTGGTGCTTTATCGTGTCTATGCGTGCCGTGTATGTTCTCTGTATTCCCTCTATTTCACACACTTTCCTGCTCTGTAGGAGGAAGTAGGAGGAAGTAGGAGGAAGTAGGAGGAAGAGGAGGAGGTACCCTTGAGTACCGAGCAGTACTCAAGGGGGGGGGGGGAGGGGATTGCATTAGTAATTTAAATAGTATGAGCATTGTGCAGGGATCTCTGACTATGAAGGTTCTTACAATCCATCCTATCCTAACCTGGCATGGCCTAGCTTGACCTGCCCTGGCATAGCCTGGCTTGGCCTAGCTTGACCTGCCTGGCATAGCCTGGCTTGGCCTAGCTTGACCTGCCCTGGCATAGCCTGGCTTGGCCTAGCTTGACCTGCCCTGGTATAGCCTGGCTTGGCCTAGCTTGACCTGCCCTGGCATAGCCTGGCTTGGCCTAGCTTGACCTGCCCTGGTATAGCCTGGCTTGGCCTAGCTTGACCTGCCCTGGTGTGGGCTGGCCTAGTGACACAGTAGGTTCCATTGGCTTTGGACCGCCCATTCTCCTAAAATTACAGAACTTAAAACATATATTTGCTCCAACGTGTTTTAGGAAGATAAATTCGCTGTTTGAGTGTCTGAAAATAACACTAGGTCAATGTGTATGTTGTAGTTCTTTTTTGGAATTTGTTTCAGCAAAGAACTATATTATTATATATTGCAACACGGTGTTCAGTGCTCAGCCTTGAAGGATGCAATGTTGCATTTCCTTACTTTCACTTTTGCTGCCTTGAAACAATGTAGAAATGATTTTCTGTTGGTAAGATGAGCGAAGTACCCGCTGGCCATACTGGCCGTCTAACGTGTGTGGGTGTTGAAACCCCGTGCGAGGCTTTGCTCAAGTTCATCTAGCCAAACCAGTTCGGAAAATATGCTTTACTCGGAGCGTTAAAAAAGGGAATAGATAAACGAGGCAGTGCTGAACGTGGCTAAGTGACTGAATCAATTATGAACCCAAAATACAGCCTGGTTTCTGGAAAGGGAAATAGATTGAACGATAGATATAGATAGATAGAGAGAGAGAAGAAGGTCAACTGATCACACGAAGGCTCTGGCACACAGTT